TATATATATATATATCAGGCCCATTACCTGCTAAATGCTCCACTGCACTACATGTAAACTGCACTGATGTAGCCTGATTTTAACATCATTTTCACCCCTTTGTTTTTAAAATATTTGTTTTTAAAATAACAAACAGGGATTTAACTGACGTTTTTTACAACCACCATATAACAGTTTTACATGTTTATGTGGCCACTTTGCAGTGGAAACAAAACTGCATCATCTTTGTTGAAACGCTCTAACATGATGCACAAAATTGAGCATGTCGTTAGTTCAGGTAGGAGGTGAAGCAGTCGGACACATCATGAACAGATCAGGTGGAGGAGGGTTGCAAAGTGGCTTGCAGAGACACAGCAGCTGTGGGCAGGCTAATATAGCAGGACAAAGATTCACCAGTTGGATGAGCTGTGGTTTGATGATCAGCTGATCTGGGACTATAGCTGCACAACTAGTGATAGCATAATGAACTCACAGGGCAACGTGAGTGTGTGTCATCTTGTACTGGTTGTACGTAAACACAATGTCTGCACTGATTTTGAGACTAAATAAAGTACAGATCCAGCAACATTTGTGCAAATAAAGTCCCAATAGAATAAAGTAGACAAACTGTGGGCTGATTAAAAGATCGGAGTACTTCAGCTTCTACTGTGCATGTGCACGTGGCGGCCGTCTGAGCTGTTTTGACATAGAAGTGATAATATTCAGGCACGTGTGCACGCTGCCAGAGGTCACAGTAATGCAGGGAGGCTGGGGTCTCAGGTTACTGCTGCCCTGTGTCTGCACATGTGGGCCCCCTCAAATACATCTCAGAGTCACTGCACAGTGCAGCCTCAGTTCTTTTCATCCATTCGCCCACCATCGATTAAGGGCGACCCTCCCCTGCTCGCCGATTGGCCGCGGCGCCCTCCTCCCTCCCCCTCTATGCTCGGTCTTATATAATGAATCCCAGTGTTTCCCACAGTGTAAACATGGCAGACGTCTTGAGTGATATGGGCTGATATACTGTAGAAGCACGCATGGCTCTGACACAATGATAAACAGCTTCATCCAGTCTGTTTATGTCTCAGAGAAAGAAGGCTGAATGCTGAACTGGAGTTTCAGGAAATCACGAATGATGCGGCCAAGAGTCTGCGTGGAAAAGGAAAATTTCTGCAGCATTGTTCTGCATCATGCATCGTTCCACAAAGAGCTTATTGTGGTCTCATTCATCGGTGGTATGTCTGCATTTTTAAACCTTTATCATCCCAAATCCCAGGTCTTATTCCACAGTGCCTGACACAGTAATTCATATATACATTTTCAAGATCATTTCAAGACCTCCAGGGAGTTATTTTAGCTTTGAAGGCTCTTTATTATTAATCAGAAGAGATTTATGACCTTTATTCCAGTGGTCACAATCACCAGAAAAACCCAAAAAGTTAGCACCAACAATAAGGTTTAAACGGCCCTTTTTTCTCTTCTAATTACAGCCCGTTGTTTTATTATTTACATGCAAATCACACATAGACACTGAATAAAGATGGACGTAGGAAACGCCATCGAAATGTTTGCAGAGACTTGCTTCTGCAGCATGAAGCTGAGCAGATGACCTGAGCAAAGTGTGGATGTGACTGAGAAACCCGAGAACCCTGCAGGCCGATGCAGTAGTGCAAAAACACGTGGGAATAATAACGCACCATAATTCACAAAATAAAGATAAAGCTGTGTTAAACACATTTTGTAGTCCATGTTCTGGGTGTTGTAGTTTCTGTGCACAGTGCTCATCATTTCTCCTTCGCTCCTTTCCTTCGCCTCGTGATGTTTTCCGTCGAGGAAAAGTGGTTAGGAAAAGCAGGTAGGCGGTCCTTTTTTTGGACTGTTCTCTTTACGCTGTTGTCAGTTTTACTTCTTGTCTTTCTTCGTGACCCCTTTTTGGTAATTGTTTGTTTCCAATAACCTCCTGCCGCACAACTCCTCGTGTTCTCGGTATTCTTCCTTGTGTTTGTAGTTATTTCCTTCTGTGTAACCTGTTGCCTGGATTGTTTGGCCTCCCTGACTGCCCTTCGGTGTATGAACATGGCTTGTTTTTAGGATTTTACACAGCCTCAACTGTCCTGCATTTGACTCCTCTTCCTCTGTTCGTATGTGAAGATTTATCTATCTTCCTGCTCGCCCTTCTCTTTGAATCAGTTTTATAATTAATGCTGAGATGAATATGAGAGGATACGACCCTCATAAAAGTAGCTCATGAACAGATGCTTGGTGTAAGCACAATTATAACTCAAGCTGACTCAAGTATTTGTTTGTTCTCTGGGTCTCTTCCCTGTGGTCAGACGGCTTAAACCGCTGCTTTTTCTCCATAATAAACCACAAGTCCAGGCTCAGGAGATGTGTCGTCATAAAATCAGCTGCTGTATTTGAAAACGTGCTCTCACAGACTGCAGGAGAAAATATTAAAAATGAACTTCCTCTGTCTGTGATGCTGAAACGAGATGAGCTCGTGGCAGTGACGGGTAATCTTCCGGCTTGTTACGCGTGGAGTTCGAGCTGACACCGTGTCGCCTCCTCCAGTGCCGGAGATGATAATGGTGATGATCCAGCTTCCTTTGTAAATTAGTATCATTACAGCTTCCTGTGACAGATGATTTGGTAACAGCGCTGGGTCACAATGACCTCTGTTTGTATTTCTATCAGCTTTGTTTTGTCCTGACGTTCCCACAAGAAGACTATGAGGTGTAAATGATATTCTGCTGAGTAAAGGACTTGTTTAAACTTCCATCTCCAGATTTGTACTAAAGTCTGAAGGCGTGTTTGAGAGAAATACATCCAGTAATTGATTTATGTTACATTTCCAAGAGTCGTTAAGATATTTTGGTTTACACAACAAATTTAAACCTCACCCAGTCAACAGGGTGGCAGTGTTCATCCTCCGGTTAAGGTGATTTTCAGTGCAGAAAATCAAATAAAGCCTGGTGCTGAGCTCACATCAGTCAAACAGTGGCTGCTATGTGAGCATGTTGAGCATTATGAAAGACAGTTGGTGATATAACATGAATTTATTTTGTCCTAAACACAAAAGAAGAGGATTTTAGTTGCATTTAAAATAGTGCTGTCAGCGTTAATCGCGTTAAAATGACGTTAACGCCATAACCGCATTAACGCTGCAAATCACCGTTAGCGAGTTAGCGTGGGGCTGGACAGCGTCAACGCGTTAGCACGGGTAGCTCGTTAACGTGTTAGCGCCGTGCTCTCATAGTTCTCATAGCGGATGAGAAAGACACAGTCGGTCCTTCTCATCCGTGCCGTGTTTCTACTTCCAGATCCTCAGTGTAACAGTTTTTGTTTATCCGCCTGTTTTGTTTTGTTTTGTTTTTTTTTTCAGGTGGATTTTGCTAAAGTCCTTCACTACGTGGGAGCTGGGGTCGCCTTCCCCTCCAGCATGCTGTTTGTGTGCCTTCAGTCAGCTCTGACCTACAGACTGGCCAAGACCCAGGAGGAATACTGGATAGGTCACATACGTGTGGGGATGGCCCTGCTGGCCCTCATCGCCCTGGTGCTCAGTATCCTTGAAGCTTATCTGTGTTTCTTCCAGCACTACAGAACATTTTTAGTGAAGCACTTCCCTAACACATACGTTGCTTGCATTTATTTAATTGCTTGTTTAAAACCACATTCAGTGGCATAGATACCCTGCAGGGTTGTGTCAGAGCTGGATGAGAAAGATTTATTTTGAGACATAGCACCCTCTAGTGGCGGTAGGAACTATAGCAGCGTAAGTTGTAGATTTAAGGAGCCACAGAGACAGGAACAAGGAGCTCAGGGTGAATGGATGGGTCAATATAAGATTTAATAACTATAGTTTCTCTTTCATGATTAAATGGTTAAATGAGCCAAAAAAGGTCATGTATTATTGGACATTATTTGTTACTTTTCATAAAAGTAATGAAAGTGACTTGTTACAGTACTGATTACATCACTTTTGCATTAAGATGAGAACTTAAGACCTTTTTTTAACATAGGTAATGACATAATTGTAAGTGTGGTAGCACTTTAGTAGTTACTTTATGATCCATTATCACAGTTTGTTCCCCAAAATTTACTAAAAGATGCATTTGTAGCTAATCAAACCTTTAAAATAGCATGAATGGGTTGCAGGGATATATTAGGGAGAAAAGGGTCATTTTGCTTCACAATAACTGGCTTTGTTTGTGTATAAATCCAGAGAAACTCAGCTTTTTGCAATAAATCAGCACATTAGTATAAAGCTAATTTCTTGTCTGTCTGCACACGTGACTGTCGCTCTTTATAGTGTTTAAAATCCAGCACATTTATAATGTATGGTATGTTGCATTGCCCCCTGCTGGAGAGCACGCAGCCTTACAAACATGACTGAAACCAAATGCTCACTTGGAGTTTTTGGTCATGAAGATTATGTGGCTGATGAGTTTATTGCTGTCAAGTCTGTAAGGAAACATTTAGGGATAAAACATCTGCAATGCACCTTTAAAAGGCAGATCATGATGGTATGGATGGTATTGATTGGAGTCTGTGAGGCTTGCATTCAGACACAGGAAACCTTTTACTGGCTGTTAATGGTAAAGGTAAACCATCACTTTTTTTAAGGTGGGCCTTTGTGTTAGAGGGTCCGGTTTGACCTCAGGTCAATGTGATGGTGAAGCCATCTTAATATTAACAGTACAGGACCGAATTCAAAGTGGCGACCAGTACGTCTCAGTACGTGAGCAATAAAAACAATGTCAAGCTGAATCACTGTGCAGCCGTTGCTCGCCTTAACCCTCTGATCACCAGGTGGGGTTTTTTTCTGCCAGGAGAGCTACGCCCTGCAGCACGCCTCCGCCATCTTTGAGTGGATCTACTGCTCGATCATCATGTTCTTCTACGGGACTTTTGCCTTTGAGTTCGGGGGCATGTCGGGGGACACCCTGATGGTGCTCTCCAAAGGCGGGGCGATGCAGAGCTTTTCCACCTCTGACCACAAGACAGAGGTCGGCGGAGCCGGCCACCACCAGCCAGAGAGCTTATCGATCCTGTGACTTAACTACAGTGTGTTTGAGGAAAAACTGGAGGTGAAAGAGTAACAGAGTCTAGAGTCTGGATGCTGCACCCTGCCACACCACACTCACTACTACAAAGTGCCAAAGCTGCTCTCCTCAGCAGTGACCAAAGACTGACAGACTTCTGTCCTGCAAAGCGTTGCACAAAACCAACAATGCCTGTGCGAACACAAACACCAACAAAGAAACACACACGAGCACACCCACAGTCCTTAATGTTTGCTTTAATTGTCTCAGAGTAACAATCGGTCTCTGAAAGTGCCTCAGATGTCGCTCCTCGCTGCGCGCCGTCAGTCCCGGAGCCTTGCATTGTTTCTACTCAGGAAGTTTTGTTACACAATCAGGTTTCTCTCCATACCTCCGCAGCAAGATGAGGGTTTCCACAAACATCAGACAGCAGGTGGGCTTCATGTGCGACGACTAGCCTCTGCTATCAAAGTAGCTTAAAGATGTAAATGTTATTCTAAGCTGAATTTCAACACTCGGTGCAACTGTTTAAGGCAATATTGCCCATGTAGCTCTCTCATATTTCCCAGATAAGCTCAGTTTTGTTTTGTCTTTTGTTGTTTCTCATTTCAGCTCGTTGCCAAAAAATGCTGTATAATTTCTCTTTAATGGGACCAAACTATGAAGGTGAAACATTGATATGTTTAACACCTTTAATTTCATCATACGCAGAAATACTTTATTAAAATTGTATTTCTTAGAATGTACACTGAAAGTAAAACAATAAAACAGTTAATATGAAATGATGCAGTGTGTGCACACATAACGGGTTGTGGTTGGCTTTAGATATACAGGAATCCACTGACTCAGGTTTATTGAGCTGTAAAGATCCTCGAGGTCCGTTTAGAGCAAAGCTTCACTGCAAATCAATGAAAATTAAAGTTGTACAAGTTGTTTCCATCCTGATGAAACTGAAAAGGCTCCCATGCAGAAGACATATTGGTTTGATGAGATGAATACCAGAAATTGTGAAATTTTGTATCAACGCATATTATACGACCAAAATGATGACTGGCATTTAGAACTGTTCCATCCATCCTACAGAGTTCTGAAGCAAAACCAACGCTCATCGGAGCTCCTTTGGCGCCACACGGTGGCCAAAGCAACTTAATGTTTTGTTTCTTTTCCCTAATTTGTATCTAACAGAAAAACAAACGAACAAAAAAATTCTACACTGATAGTAAAAAAGATATATTCTGGTAAGCATGCAGGAAGAAAAATCTTAATTTTAAACTTTAATAAATGCTAACATATGAAGCCTCTGTGGGACATTTGGATTTCATCTTCGGTCGTCTGCATCTCATTAAAAACCTCACATTATCGTACTAAACTGCATGAAGCCTGAGGGAAAGTTTATACACCTGCAGATTATTCAGCTTCTGTTCTTTTAACCACAAACTCTCATCAAAATCATTTTGGTGTTTTCCATGCAATGTAACAGGAGCAGGATGCCACATCCAAGACATGTAGGGGAAAGTTGGCTAAACCTTGGGAAGTGCCAAGGGCAGCAGATACTAGCACACCTTCCCACCCCTGATAGCAAGTTGATTAAAAAATAGTTTTTATGCATGGTTTAAAGACGCTTCGGAGTCATTTTGACTTCTAAAGTTGTCTTTTAAAAACAAAAATCAGCTGATGCAGTTCAGACTGTCTACTTCCACGTCCTCTGACGTCATCCGTCTTTGGTAGACATGTGTTGTTGTTTATGTTAAATAAATTCCTTTACAGGGGAGCACGGTGGCCTCAGCCCGAAGGTCTTGAGTTAAATCACCATCTGGCTGTTTCACGTTCTCCGTCTGCGTGGGTTCTCTCTGCGTACTCCGGCGTTCTCCCACAGTCCAAAGACATGCAGGTAGTAGAGTTGGGTTACGTGGTGACTCTAAATTGTCTATAGATGTGAATGTGAGTGCGATGTGT